TTGTCTTCAATGTCTCTTCAAAATAATGATCCACATCAATAAACTTGAAGCCTAGCACCTCGGCAGCGTACTGACCAAGGGTAGTCTTGCCAACGCCGCGCATGCCGACAATAACCATGGATTTACCGTTATCCACCGTCTTATTGACCTTGAGAGAAGTGCGGCCGAGAGACTTTTCAGCTTGGCTTAGTCGAAGACCGTGATCTACGCCATTCAAACGCACACCGAGCTTGCTCTCGAGGTCGTCCCACCAAGTGGGCCAAGTCTTTTCAACACACTTTTTATCAGTGACGACGGTGCCGTGAGGAACAACCGTAGAAAATACAGAGAAGCTCATGGCAATACGATGATCGTCATAGGTATGAACACCTTCCTTGGGCGCCTTGAGATCCTTGATAGGCTTACCGTGAATTTGAATACCATCAGGCAACTCTGAAGTTTCCACGCCAAATTTGGTGAGCTCATGGACCATAGCAGCGATACGATTGCATTCCTTGACTCTTTGGTTTGCGATGCCAGAGATACGGGTGATGTTTTCGCTTTTACCATCAGTAGAAGTGACAGCAGCTAAAACAGTGGCTGTCAAAAAGGCATCGGTCATAGTTTCCATGTCAATTTGAGGCAGAGGGCGAAGTTGACCGATAGGAGGACCGGTGACGGTCGTTGAGGTTTCGGTTTGAACAACTGTACATCCCATAGGGCGAAGTACGTTGATAGCAAAAGTGGCATCACCTTGGAGAGAACTAGAGCCGATACTGGTGACAGTGCAGGTGGTGCCGGTGATAGCAGCGATGGCTAATGGATAAGTGGCTGAACTGGCATCAGATTCTACAAGATAGTGTTCAGGGTTCTTATAAGTAGTCTGCTTGATTCTATAAGTGTTCTCGGGAAGACGTTCGACAACAGCGCCGAATGATTCCATCATGGCGATCGTCATGTCGATGTAAGGCTGGGAGATAACTTGACCGCCAGTCAAAACGAGCTCGACAGGCTTGTTAGCATAAGGAGCACACAGTAAGATGGACGAGACATATTGAGACGAAATGGAAGCAGATAACTCGATGCGGCCGCCCTTGAGACCACCATTAGGAGTAACAGCAATAGGTAAGAACCCTTCCTTTTCGATTGACTGGATTTCAGCGCCATTAGCCCCGAGGGCAGCCAACAGAGGAGCAATGGGTCTTTGCTTCATGCGGGCGTTGCCAGTCAAGATGGCAGTGGGATTCTTGGCACCTTCAGCCGTAGGGATCAGTGTCAGCACAGATGTCAAGAATCTAGATGCAGTGCCTGCGTTGCCGACATATATTTCTTTATCAGGGACGGACAAACGACCTCCTCCTCCATGAACAACTAAAGTCTCGCCATTTTCCTCCCACTCAAAATCAGCAGCATTCAAACTCTTGAGAGCGGCCAGCATGAACTGAGTGTCATCTGAATGCAACAAATTCTTGATTCGCACAGTACCTGTACCCAATGCAGCAATAAGTAGAGCGCGGTTAGAGATAGATTTAGAGCCGGGAGTTGTCAATGAAACTTCCTTCCTGGGGCCCTGGGGCGATTCAGTAACAGGCAAAACTAGCTGTTCTGGAGACAAGACTTTGTGGATATCAGCGTCTGCAATGATGGAAGCACGGGGCTCCAGAGTCTTGCCAATAGCAGAAAGCATGACAATACGCTTCTTATCGCCTTGGTTCTTTTTGTCCACCTTCATTACTTCCATGATATCATCGACATGACAATGCAGACTACCTATTCTATCCTTGACCTTCTTTTCGTCCATGCTGATAGGGAGGCCATAAGAGGCGAAACAACGAGCCAAGCGGCCAACAGCAACTTGGTTGAGGTGGCCCAAATTGCGCGCTAATTCAGCTTCTTTGATGCAACCGATAGAGACACACTCGCCGTGAAGCATCAAGGGAGATACAATAGCTTCGATGCCATGGCCGATGGAGTGGCCAAAGTTCAAGAGACCACGGAGACCTCCTTCTCTTTCATCACTTGTAACAACAAATGCCTTGAATCTAACGGAAGCCAAAATAACATCCATGAGCATAGACTGAGCTTCTGTACGAGTATCCAGGGTTGCCCCTTTTTTTCAAGAGACAAAAAAAAAATTAGCAAATTTCATTTAATGATCATGCACATCCATAGAAATTTACCTTGATCGGGAACATCTGATCCACTGCAAAATACAGCATTACGAATAGCCTCTACGCCATTTTCGAGCTTACAGAAATCGTTTTCATCTGAAATCGCGGCAGTCTTATTTGGCAGTATACATATGAGCTTTTACTGTGAATAATTGAGAGTTTAAACAAACCTTGATGAGTTCAGCCATACCGTTAGCAAATTCACGCTCGGGCAAAGTGTTTAAAAAGTCGAGGTCCATGAAAATACGCTTTGGTTGCCAAAATGCGCCTATCAAATTCTTACCAGCAGGTACATCAATAGCAGTTTTGCCGCCAATTGAAGAATCCACCATAGCTAACAGAGTAGTTGGGATTTGAACGACCGTAGCACCACGCATGAACGTGGCAGCTACAAAGCCGACCAAATCGCCAATGACGCCACCACCGATGGCGAGGAAACAAGTATCTCTAGTGACAGCATTGGAGAGAAGCCAATCTTCAATATCAGCTTTGATTTTGCGAGACTTGGTCATTTCTCCAGGTGGTAAAATACGGGTAAAAAGACGAGGCTCTTTTTCGTTTTTGGTGCTAAAGATCTCTTTGCTTACACTCTTGAAAGCGTTAACATACTTTTCAAGGTAGATGGGAGCCAGATTGGTGTCTGTAATGATAACATAGTTGGAAGCCGGGAGGTTCGTTAAAATATCGCGTACAAGATGTTCAGTTAAATGAAAACCGACAATGATCGACTCTGCTCCAAGAACAGAGACTTTCACCACATCGGGATTGACCATTTTTTTATATTTAAAGATAAAATAAAAAAAATAAAAAAGGAGGGAAAGAGACGCAAAGATACGCAAAGTATGATCTTGATATCTTTCAAAATTGACAGAAACCATTCTTCATTGGATCGTCAAAGCTATTGGATTTGCAACAATGAGTCAAAAGATAACCGGTCACTAGTTGCAATATCAACTTCCATTCATAAAGATTCAAAGTGTGATAAATCAAACCTCGTTGATTATGTATGCGCACCCGATCAATTGCTTTGCTAAGCATATCACTAAAAAGCCAACGATAATAAAATCATAATTTGTTTTTGGTTATCTGTGCTTACAATAATGGAAATGATGCACGCTCGTTTGATTTAACCTGTTTCGTAAATGTAATTGTTGTGCACGGATCATTACGAAAGAACACCCATCTTAGTAACAAAGTGCAACTTGAGTTATGATTCCAGCTACCATTGCAAGATTGCCACAGAAAAGCGACACAAAGTTTACTCTGATGCTGATAAATGATGGCTGCACTTGGTGCCATACGTTGACAGATGTGAACTAGATCAAGCATATTTTTTCAATAAACCGAAAGTCGTGTTGTCGCCATAACAATACTTCTACGATATTGCTACGATGTTGTTCTTTAATAACAACTATCTCTTCAAAGAATTATATACTCTAAAAGCTCTATACTTCACTGTTTTAGGTTTGCGCATCATTGTTTACTCCATCTTACTATAGTATCGAAATTTCAAGTTGTAAAGCATATTTAAAGATACAAACTGTGGCGAAATTTAGCATACAATACTTACAGTAATATGCTCGAACCCGTGGATTCGCCTTAGTGAATGTGTTAATTCAATGATTTAAAAACAAGCGGGTTGAGCACAAATTAGCTATGTTGACTTGGCCTTGATAATACACGAAACCACTTTAATAAATACTTTTTGATCAAAATTACAGGTGTATACACTTATTCTATGTGTTCCTTTCGCAATTAAGCAATCTGAGTTGTGCGAACAGTAAAACATTTTAATTTCTCATCGATAGTTACATTTCCATGCAATACCCAACAGTACAAAGAGAGCGAGCGCCTACAACATCAAAAACTATGTCTTTTAGATGCAACATATGAAGATATGCATTTTAATATATACTTGGTGAGGAGGGAAGTCTTAGTCTAGATTGAACTCACCAAAAATCGCAGTTATCTAAAAGAGCCATATTCTGCAGCATCGTACCTATTGATTTGTATTAAGTTACTTGTGAGGCTCACGCTTCGCTCTTAAATATACGTTAAAATTACGAACTTCCCACAAAGCATGCTGTAACAACACTGTAGTTGGGCTGCGAATTCCAGCTCAACAGAGCATTTCGACCTTAAATTGATCTTAAGAACTCTCATAGTTTAATACGGCAAGAAATTAATTAGTATGTTTGGTGTTGTATCCATAGAATACCATGGTTACCACTATTTCAACTTGGCTGCTATGGCAAATGTTCCTAATCGAATCTAAGGTTGAATGTCACCACAATAAACAGAAGTAACCAATGGAATGTCTTGTATAAGAAACCATTTATTTGGTTCTACTTTTCCTAAATTGCGAAGCTAAACTTATCGATGAATGATTCACACTCATAATGATTAACTGATTAAATATAGAGATAGGCCTTGTTTTGACTACCACTGTGTTATAATTCTATTTGACATTTACTTATCAAACATAATCTGATATAGATAGACAGATTCTTATACATCAATAAAAGCAATAGTTTTGTACCTAGAATTCTCAAGTCCTTATAACTTTTTTATTCAATCGCTGCTGTGGTCATTTTCAAGGCCAAGCACAACAACTTAGTTGCTAAAGAGTTACTAGTAGAGTTGGCCATGATGAAAGTAATGTCGTGATAACATTAACTTCAGTAAGATAGATTATATATCAGTTAAAAGATGATTTTTATTAATTTACTACTTATATAAGAGATCAATGTTGAGTGTTGAAAGAAACTACTATATAATGTCAAGTGATCGTAATAAAATAAAAAAGAGCAGACTACACACACCACAGACAATGATTGTAGTCAAAATTATCGTCGCCTGCAGGGTTTGAACCTGCGTGGGCAGAGCCCATGAGATTTCAAGTCTCACTCCTTAACCACTCGGACAAAACGACTCTCCTGTGTTGTTAAATTTAAAATTTAATATCATTTAATTAGTAAATACATTATAGAGTAAAGCACGTGATACACATAATGCAAAGCTCAGATAGACGTTTAACAAGAGAGAATATAGAAGACTTTAATTAACAGGATAAAGACAATGTTTATTTAATAGATTTTATATAATATTTATACTCATTGTTAACTACTTTCAGAATTTGCCATGGTTTTGTATTTGTTCATCCTGGTTTCTAGAAATTGCTATCTATTTATAATATAAAGAAGTTTATATATGTGTCTTAAACTTTCTGGAAGGAGGTACTTGATCTGCCATTACTATAGACAGGAAATTATGACAATGTACTTTAATTGAAGATTGAAAATTGTCCAATGATGTGATGTGATACGCTTCTGTAAATTGGAGAATAAAGTCTCTATTTTAAATCAAGAAGGTTATTTCTGTAAGTAATGCAGATCTGAGCACCAGGATAAATGTTAAGCCACTGTCAGATCAAAGACGTGTAGCCCTTGTTATATAACCTTACATTATACCCTTTCAAGTGGCGAAATATTGACTGAATTGCCAACAGTGCTAATCAGTGTTGATAAAATACTAAAATTATCAATGAAATGATAATAAGGTCATTGATGATTATTGATAACTTAGTTGATCAATTGATTGTTACTGATTAAATCCTCAATGCAATGATAAACGAGTCAATTTTGATTATTGATAATACACTTGATCAATCGATCATCGATGACAAAAGCATCAATAGATTGACAAATGAGTCTGTTTTGATTATTGATAATATATTTAATCGGTGGATCGTCGAAGATAAAAACATCAATGGATTGACAAACAAGTCAACAACATTGACAAATACATCAAGGGATTGATTATATTGTCATTTTGAAAATTGACGCATCAACGGTGATTAGCGTTATAGATCAGGTAGCTAAGCGATTGATTGGTTTATTGAAGAACTCACATCGAATTGATTAGCTGCTTCTTTGATCATACTCGAGATAACGATGCTTATACATTCTCTCATAATAATAAAAACCTTTAAACTTTTGTTTTGTAATTATGACGCTACATTAAATCGTTATGATATGGTTTAATTTATTAATATTTAAGCCCTTTTCAATAAAGGATAGAAAAAAATGCTTGAGGCAGCGTTTAATAGACCACGTTTGTCGTTAGCTAGTTTTATTGATGAACATAAAGGATGACAGAGCTAACATTAGAAGAAGATCCAAAGACTAATAAAAAAAAAAGTCGCTTGGGCACATACTACAAATGCATTGTATTGTCAGTAATAAGAACTATTTGATAATAAAAATTCGGTATTTATGATATACCAAAACATCTATTACCTATAGAAGAGTAAACAGCAGTTTAGAAAGCTTACTAAAATAATGTAAAGACATAGAAAGAATAAGAAACATATTAAAAAGGAGTATGTGTACTGCTAACAGCTATACCATTTCAATGCTTGTAGCTTTCGTGTTAAGAGAAAATAAAATTTTATTTTATTTAAAAGGAAAAGGAAGAAACAAAAAAAAATTGAGCAAATTTATAGAAAAAAATAGACCTGGTGATGGCAGGATTATTGTTTGCCTTTGCCTTTGCTTTTTCTTCCTGCACCTCTTGTACCACGCGTGCTGCCTCGGCCTCTGGCACCACCTCTGACTCTTTTATTGCTGTTATTAGCTACTGCTGCTTCTTCTGTACCTGGGCTACTATGACGTCTTGATCTACCAACCGATGGCCCAGAAGCATGAAATGAATCAACAACCTCTTCTTCGCTACTACCTACCTGCTGTTGTGATGATGCAGCTTCTTGCTCTAGGACATCGATTGAAAAACCTTCAAAAGTCATTGGACTTCTTACTGCAGAAGCAGCTTGTGCTACGAGCATTTGTTGAGCAGCAGCTAGGGCCTACATAATATATATTAGTGATGAGCTTTTATGAGATTAATGATGTCAATTTAATACTCACTCGTTTCTCCTCTGCATCTTTTTGCCTTCCAATGTTTCTGATAATCAAACCAAAGAGGTAAGAAGAAATCCAATTATCCTCGGCAACGTGCAACGGGAAGTGGCCTCTATTTGGCAATGTTTTTCGAATGATATATTCTGAAACATATATCAGGTTTTCTTGCTCTTGGCCAGACATTTTTGCCCATCGATGAGTACTTGGCATGTTGAAGAGACGAGCTTCGCAGATAGCTGTCATCAAACGATACGTCGATGAGTAGCGAAACTCAGCATCTTTGAACAAGATGCTAAGACGCTCATCGTCTTCAAGCTCACTTTCTCCTGGCACCACGTCGTCTTGAAGCTTGAGCCAATTGACTCCGGTTGCCAAAATCAAGGACTTCACCTGCTCTTTGCCATCCATTTTGTACTGCTGCACAATCTTCTTTTTAGTATTACCAACCCTGTCAGAACGTTTGGAAATTGCAATGCTGGCAATTTCTTCGACTTTTTCGGGTTGCTCAAAGATGGCCATCAAGCTATCACTGATATCTTTGTCTTGCTTGGAAACAGATGCAGCGATCCCTATCAATGTGCAAAACGAAATAGTGTTATTACACACTATTTGTGGCCAATTTTAAAGTGTTTGAATGAATTGTTACCTTGATAGTTTGAGGTTAATCCTACATTGTAAAAGCTTCTGTTATTGTACATGGTGTTTACCATTGCCTTTACTTGCTCCATGTCTCTTGTTATGTTGATTACATGATCCAAAATCATGTTAATCTTAGAGCTATCAATAGAGGGAGCATAGAGAAGATTGTTCAAAAAGGCTGTTGTTCGTGTTAAAAGAAGACGCGTTTTCTTGGTGTGAAATTTTAAAAGTATGAAAAAAACAAGGCAAAGTCATAACGTTATTTTTTTCTAGTGCATTTACCTGAAGGGATGTGTTAGTTTTTGCCTATTCAACTGGAGGTTGAATCTCATCTCAATTCCAACATTGACACCGACATTCAAATGAAATTGTAGAAAGACTTTTAAAAACCAAGACCAGAGCAATCCTGGCTTCCTGTTTCAATCATTAATGAAGACCCTCGTTCTCCGTGATATAATCGCTTGTAGTCTCTTTATTTAATTGTCTTTGGAAATAATCTTTATTCATATCGAAATAACTCTCAGGGTAGATCTTTGTAATAATAACGATTGAAATTAACTGCATAATATATGTACATCAATAAAATTCTCTCCCAAATTAATAATTGTAATATGATAATCTCATCCATTATATTCAATGAGGCAGTTTCTAATATAAATCTCTTTCAAAATAATAGTAGTGTGTTTTACTTTTGTCTCGCCCTGAATGTGTACTAATATCTAAAACAGATGTGGTTGTATCGCAGCTTTTTATTTAAACAGTGATGTTTGCTTTTTAAGCCCTGGAACTGCAAACTAACTTGCCAACTTGTAACTTACGAAAGCGAATCCAGGCATACGCTATCACATAAATGTAGCTTTATGTATTTTCTAAGTATTAAACTGAAAACAATGCTTGATATTTATTATCAACTTGCTATATTCGCCATCAAACGTGATGCTGATTGTCCATAGGGGGTTTGATTTAATAATGATAATGCGAAGGTCAACCGAAATGTTGACGTTCAAATGTTGATTTCGAGGTAAACTAGTAAGCGTCTTTCTCTTAAGACCTAATTGACAACGAGTCTGTATCCCTTATGCTAACCTGCAAGCTTAAAAATAATAACCCATCCAGATTTTGCCGTCGTCCATATGTTACTTTTTCCGTGACAATCAATAATAGAAGTTGGTTATCTATTTACAGTTTATTTCTTCTTCTAAACAAGCATGATAATAGGACATTCTAGAAACCAGTAGGGCTAGTTCTGTTGGTGGATTTAGTGAATTTCGGTACTTTGTGAATTGATTTACGATAGCCCTTAGCATTACGACTAAATACAGTGTATTTATCTCTAGCAAGCATTTCTGATTCCTTGGGAAGTGCAAGAGCTTCATCCAAAGCTTTACATTTGATACCAGATTCAGCAACGGCAGCAATAACATCATCGACGGCCTTGAGTCTCTTGCGAACGTTGGCTTTTCTAGTTGCAGACATACGAAAAGGGTTTTTCCTTTCGAAAATGTCAAATGGAAATTAATTAGGTAGTAATGATGAATACCACTTACCAAAGCAACCCACCTTGGGCTACTAATGAGGGTCTGAAAGCGCCAAACATTTTGTAAAATAAAGAAAAGTGAATTACTTTTACATATCAGCAAACCCCTTCACCTCTAAAGTTAACCGGGGCAACCTGATGCAAACACTGATGGGACTTCCAACATGTCAAGACTGACTGTAAATCTTCCTAGTGGCTTACTGTGATGCTCCTTTGGAATTAAGATGGTTTTTTCTTGAAAAAAAAAAAAAAAGCTTTCATTTTAACACAGTATGGTCGATTTGGATATTGAGCAATCTTACCTTCCTCTTGGAAAACAGCTAGCAGCCAATGGTACAGCAATTTATTGTTACTGAAATGCTATTCAATCAACTCACCATTTCATAGAAAAAAAGACTCGTGATAAAGCAATTCGTTCTCTTCGTAAATTTTTATCAACTAGTAGCAATTTAAATGAAACTGATCTCATCAAACTTTGGAAGGGTCTCTTTTATTGTAGGTTAACTGCATATTGAAACTAGAATTTCTGTAGCTAATGTATAATCATGTAGGCTATTGGATGTCTGATAAACCTTTGATTCAACAAGCTTTAGCTAACGATCTAGGAGCGCTTGTCATGGAGATGCCTGCTGCAAATGCTATTCCGTTTTTAAAGGCATGCTGGCAGATCCACTGTCAACAATGGCATGGCTTAGATAGAATCAGGTACGTTTTCTTCCCATTTTCACATATTTGTTTGATCCTGAACATCCTTAGACTGGACAAGTATTATATGCTTTTACGTCGTATAATCTATTTCTCTTTCCAATTTTTGGCTAGAGAATCATGGGATCAAGT